CTGAACATGAAGGTAATAACCCACCTGAACATATGAATGGCTGTGATATACAAGTGCCTACTCTTGGTTCACATCATTGTATTATCTTACACATTAGTAACCAACTCTAAGCAACCAGAAAGACCAGCTGGACAGTCCCTTTTCAAAGCATGCTTTTACTGATATATGATGCATGGTAATTTGTCCACAATAGACAGAGCACCACACCCTTGAAAATGCCATGTTTATAAAAATCTGGAAATACAATTTGCATTCAATTAGAAGTCGCTCTCCAACAGAGACAGGACCGAAGTCATATTTTGCCACCAATAAAGATCTGAAATTGAAATGCTATTTTTCCAGCTGAGAATCATTTAGCAAAAGTCTGAGCAGTTTCCTCCACAATGAAAGCAGGTAAGTCAGTTACAGCTGCAGGTGGGATATAAGAACCATAGCTCTAAATCTCACCAATGGGCCAGCAGATCTGGTCTAATCTAATCAATATATACTACTGTGTTGTTCCCAAGTGAAAAACACTGTGTCTCATTATAACCAAAACGTCTCTGTAGACAAAAGATGTTTTTTATTTCCCCTTCGGCTAGCTCTTTTAGGTGCCAAATTAAAGATTGAATTGTTCATTTCATTCAGAGATTTCAAAGACAACTTCCTGGATAAGTTCCTTTAAAATGCAGCCTTAGCTGAGAGTATGTAATATTGTGAAAAGACCATGATTTCTCGGCACAGAACTTTCAGCAGCATCATTTAGACCAAAAATCATTAACTCCTTTCCTCCTCCAACAATACAGATATCGCCCTACATTGTTCACATAAGATGCAAAGACTCCCCAGAGCTCCATTCTCCCTTCAGGGCCACATCACTCTTTTAGGCACTAGCTCTCTTCCTTACACAGGGGAGACCACTGAACAGTAAAGCTCTGCTGAATGGGTCACATTCATTTTCCCCATTAGGCTTGCCCAGTATGGGTTTGAGATGCACAAGATGATACAGACATAGAAACTGAGTCCAGGGAGGATAATAAGCCGCCTAAGATTATACAGTCCTTTGCAGCAGTAGTATTTAGACTTAAGAGCATGAATCCTTCCAAAGTGTGTGTTCTTTCCATTTCCCTCACCACGGGGCATGCTTTGATGTGGAACATAAAGATGACAAGGGCTCAGCTGGTTCCAGGCAATGCGTTTACCTTAATCTACCAAACACACTCCCAATCCACTTTGTAGCAAAGAGTACTCTTCAGTCTATTCTCAGAATCTCATTCCTTTTAACATTAAGTTTATTTTTCTCTGAGGCCACTAAACCTCACACATCATTGTATTGACTAAGTTTGAATCCTGCTTGTGTGACTTGAGACAAAGACACATCCGTTTCATCACATGGAAAATGGGATAAGGTTTTGTGAGAACCATGAGCCATCATTCACATAAATCACCTAGCCCAGTGCCTGGCACACAGTACGCCTTCCATGAACATTTGCTATTATTATTATTATTATTATTATCACTATTATTATTATTATTAGAAACATATTTTACTACTAAAACTTATCTTTATCTTCTTTCTATTTCTGTTCATTAGGCTTTTCATTTTTGTTTTCCTCATTTATACATTAAATTGGAATGGATTGCGCTTAATTCAGTAAAGTGGTTGGTATAACAATTGTATTTTTTACAGCATTCGACAAAATTGTCGGCAAAATGGGGTCATGGGCAGCTGGCACTTGAGAGAGAAGTCATTAAGGTTTATTCTAAAGAATCCGTTTACTTTTTTGCTGATTCCGTGTAAAGCAGGAACAAGATTGTCCAACTGATTGTTTTGTAAGGTTTATGTTCTTCTTCTAAAACCTGTCACTTATGTGTAATAGAACACTCATTTAGCAAACTGACTATATTTTAAATCGCATATGGACTGATTTATTTAAAAAATAATAAAATAAAATGAGAAATTATGTTGCTCTTTATCAGGCAGTTATTATAAGAGTCTTTAAAAATTGTAAATAATGATTCTAAAAATAGTGAATGTACAAGTTCCCAATTTCAAATAAGAAGTGTTTAAAATTTGCCTCGCAAAGGGAAGGGTTATTAACTTTGATATTCTGCCAATATTTATGGAATGTTAGGAAAAATAAATACAAAAGGGACAAAAGTGATAAGGTTTTTGTAAATGAAAAATAAATCCCTTAAATACTTCCTGTCAAGAATGATTTCTTTATTGTTACAGTGACTGAAAATTTTATTTTTAAAGATTTTAGATTTAAATTTTTTTAAAAAAATTCTGATTAGTATTTAATGACATGGGAATAATGCTATTATATATTAAGTAAATTGAGGGAGAATGGGTAAGTAGAAAGCCAGAATGAAAAACACTCATTAGAAGAAAATATACTAAAATATTAGCGATGTTATTTTGAATAGGTAGGTGGGCCGTTTTTATTTTCTTCTCCCTGCTTTTTCTATTCCAACATGAAGAGAAAAGGAGAACGCTGGGGAGAGACAGCATGTTGGCAGAGAAGACTGGCCTGGCTTCCCAGGCAGGGCATCAGCAGGGCCAACAACATAAACCACTACTGCTGAACCCTCTCAAAAGGGGCCCGGCAGGGGAGGCTCTCAAACAGGACTGGCGGGAAGAGGACGCGTCCCTACAAGGGTGTGCGCATTGGTACCTGAGAAACTGAAAGGGAACTAAACACGGCACCTTTTTCACTCTGAAAAATGACCCAAAACGGCACCATCATTATTAAAACATAACAGATTTGCTGAATCCATACTCCTTCAGAGCGGCTTTTCAACATTTACTATAGAAAACGCCAATGTCAACAGTTCAAAGCATGCAGGCCACACAGACATGACTGCATTGCAATAGCATCGTTCCTTTCTGGCTGAAAGTAAATATTTGGGGCTGATTATTTCTAACCCACGTGAACTCTTCCAAGGCCTTTGACTCTTACATATTTTGAACATTGAAGTCCAGCTTATGGCTCTTGCTGATTCTTCAAATTTCACCTCCAGTCTTTACTAAATAGAGATACGTGTGCGTCACAGCTCTCTGCACTGCAGAGTTCTGCATGCTGCCGCCTTTAAATGAACTGAGAGCCTCACCATGCTTCTACTGTTCTAATCAAGGCTGGACTTCATCCTACCACTATTGATTTATATTTTCCAATCATAGAGCATATTTCATGAGATTAAAAATGTATTAATTAATCAATTCAACCATATTTACTGAGAGCCTACCCTGAATGGAAAGGGATGTACCAAAACCGTACACTGAAATATTTTAACATTATGGTACACAAAGCCTTCTTTCTGTGTCTTAAAACCTTTACCAAATATCAGGAACTAATTCTGCTGAGAGTTAGAGATCAGAGTCAGATTTCAAAATTATTTTCTCTCTCAACAGTATTGCAATGAATAGAAATGTAAACGGAGAGATTCATTTCAGTTCCCTAAAGCTCTGGAAAACCAAAAGAAATATTTCTTCCATTCCATAATTACTCGGCTATGCTTAAGGATAGCATCCATCGCCCCATTAATGATAGCATGAAGGGTTCCAATTACAAGAGTTTCAATAACTGTATTCAATGAATCATGCAGTAGAGAAATTATTCCCAGGGGGGGAAAAAAGCACCAAAAAGAAAAATCTAGTATTTGCTGTTGTATAATAAGCACTCAAAGATATAAAACAAAGCACAACATGATTCCTTAATACTAGTTAGCTAAAATCTACATAATTATACTAAGCTTTTCATACGGAGAATTAAATAACAACTATCCCAAACTCCCCAGACGGATTATCATTTTGTAGTATGTAATGAGTGCCCTTAGAATTCAGAGGAAGCCAATTTAGTCCTTCCTAGCACTTCATTTCCTGTTTGATCTTACTAGATTGCTGTCATCAATCCAGTTGAATGATGCTTTATCAAGCTAAAATGTAGCCAAAACATTATACTTCATGCAATAAAATAATAGGCTCACATCACATCATTACAATTCTGGTACCACCAACCTGAAGGGAAACGTTTTAGGTCAAACTGGATCTATTTCAACAGATTTGCAGTACAACTAAAGTTGCCAAAAGTACAGACCTTCTTTTCAAGGGCTTCCTACCATGCTGTGAGCCAAAGGAAACTGTTCCTTAAACACTCTCCAGGTTGGAGCTGAATAATCAGGAACATCTATTTATTGAAGAGCTTAGCAAACTGAGAAATGGCTTTAAATAAAGAGCTAACATACGGGAGAGAAAGACTGTAGTTCTAAGTTTTATTGTCAAGGTCTGATAAATTCCCCTGTCGGATATCAAAATTTAATGCTATGCTTTTCAGAATTTATAAGTATGAAAACTATTTTTACTAGTCCTTGCTAATAATGCCTTCAGTTCCCCTGACATAGCACGAGGCACCAATCCATCTCACAGTTGTAGAACTGCATAAGCACAAAGCGCACTTAACATTCAACAGATGAAAACTAATCTGAGATCTTGCCCAGGGACTTCTCAAACATTTTCATAATTAGTCACTTGCTATCAAACTTGAATCAAGGGCATCTATATATAGTTTCCTTACTCCATCGCAGCAGGCTTTACATGAGAACTGAGGAGCTCTGGACCCGGGGCCCCAGACAGCTGCGTATCCTGCCGCAGGCAGTTGCTGAAGGCATCAAGACACACTTAGAAAAACACACACACGAAAACCACAATGTTCTCTATTGCTCACCCAGAACTAGACCTCTGAGGCTATTCGTTATTTTCCAACATTTAAAGATACTACATTATCCTAAAATGACCACGTGTGTGGTATCTCTTCAGATCCAGATGTATCTTAAGGGGAGGGAGTATCTAGTGGACCCCAAGCATAATAGGGAGCCATTTCGATTCCAAACAGCAAATACCACCTGCTTCCAAACTTGATATACTCCATAAGGGCAGAGGGCGGACGCGAGCAGGACCTTCGGAAACAGACATTGTTTGGCGTTAAAAACCAGTGAACAGAATATTTAAATATACTTACAGGAAGAAGTATTTGCTCCTTCGGTTGTTACTGATATTCTAATGGGAGACTCTATAAAACATAAGAGTGGAATGAGGCTTTATTGAGTCATGCCACTTGGATTCTTACATTAGAAACTGGCCAGGCTTAGGTCTCATCGGGAAAAAGAGGACTAGAAAACAGTGCAACAGAAAAGCTGAAGCCTTTCCAAGTCCAAGGAAGATATATGCAATATCCAAAGACAACAAAGGAGAATGTCTGTAAGTCCAGAGCCAAAGACTTTTGAAAGAGATGAAAATGGAGTGGGTCCATCCACAACGATCACCCACACCAACTGCTGTAGGCACTTTCTAGAAATACTAACAGAGCCACCATACCGGTGAGATAGACAAGTCCTTCTCTGATGTGCAGTCTGGATTTTTAAAAACATTAAACCAGAGAACAATCCCCATATTAAGAGAGAATGAAAGTCAACTTTCATGCACAGAGAAAATAGAAAATAAAAGAAGAATGAGAATATTTTCAGGCAACTTGGTCTGCATAAACATCCTAACCAAACACAGTGCTAAATAAAGTCCATGCACGATCCACTAGGGGAATTACATTAGGATTCAAACAAAACATGCTAAGTAAGTTCACAATGCAATCATTAGGGATGTACAGTAGCAAGGTCCTTTTAGGTAGCAAGGATAAGGAAGAAAACCAGTATGTAAGTACGGACCTAGCAGAAAATATAACTCATGCAGAAAAAAACAGCGTAGGGCCTAAGGGTTTTTATTAGTAAGAAATAACAACTTAGTATCAAAGGATTGAAATCCAGCAGCCAGAAGTTATAATCATTCAAGTTATATATCAGAAGATAATAGTTACACTCTAAATTCCCAAGACAAGCACCACATAAATTTAAAAGCTCAGGTTCATAACAGCATCTACTGGAGTTGGATAATTAAGCCCCTACATTTAAAATAATAATAAATTCCCGAATGAAAGGTGAAGAGTTTCAGATAACAACAATTATTTTCTTTTGAACTCTCTTCCCCTTTCTTCCTTCCTTCCTCCCTCCCTTCCTCCTTTCCTCCCTCCCTCCCTCCCTCCCTCCCTCCTTCCTTCATACAAATACTTATATCTTAGTAATGGCCCATGAATATGCCCTAAATATGGCTAAAACAATCTAGGTTATAGAGAAATTTAGCTTTTATGATTGTTAACAATGGCTTTGAAGGGAAGATTAAAACCTGTTGAAGGTAAGCTTTAAAAAAAGTTAGATTGTGCTGTGTCAGAGTATATGGCCTCCTATAGGTTC